AAGAGGTGTCTGTGGTTAGGAAGGATCGTGTGTTTTCAAGCACGGCAGAGACGCAAGCAACAGCAGCGGCAAATTCTTCGTTACCGAACCGGGTCTGGACCTCCCCTATGTTAACTCGGCCTGAAATGAGTATTTGTTATGGGCAAGTGTAGCGACGTGCCGTTGAGATGATGCCAAAGGCGATTCGCTTTGTCACCACCACCACTACGACTACTAACCAAGCATCATCAACGCCATCGTTACACAAGCCTTAATAGGTGTTCGCCAACAGCGCAGGTTACCCGGTAAACATGTAACGATGTGCTCAGTGATGAGCCAAGTTCCTCTATGGGCAATCGTTGGGATCCGGCTCACCGCGTGACTTCCTCTTTCTTCACGCCTGAGTCTTTCTCTTCCCGAGTGAGTGAATACTGTTGTTCCAAGTTTAAATGAAATATTGCAGTGTAATTACAATCGCTGCCACCACAGCGCTGGATTCACACGTGGATGTGTGCGCCACAAGCCCGAACTCACACGGCTGGCTCATTCATTCTAGGGCAAAGACAAAGATCCCCCCCCCATAGCCTTAACAGAGTATTGGGGCAAGTGCTGTTAGCGAGCACCTATGAAGGCCGGCACGGCACATGGAAGGGATCGGTGGCCAGCACCACGCCCTGCCGCCTTTGTCTCCCCAGTGGCGATGTTTAAACACTGCAAAAGGTATTCATTTGAGGCTGAGTCGATCTAGGAGGCCCAGGACCGGTTCGGATAATCGTCACCGGTGTTGGCCGTGAGCGGGATTTGGACTCTGGTTTCCGGGTTCGTAGTGTAGCGTTAGCGCTAACCGCTGCACCGCCGCTCCCCAATATTCTCGGGCACGGCCGTTCGCATCCACATAATATTCATTGTGAACAGGAATCTCGGGAGAAGCATTTGGCCGTGAGGTGGGAGTACGGGAGGCGGGATGGTGAACCCGTTCCTACCCACACCCTCGATCAGAAAGGAACTGGCCACAACATCGCATTGTGGCAGGACCCTGCTGGGAAGGGGTTTTTGTTGTTGTTGAGACGGAGCGAAACTTTACAAAGGGTGCATTCGTTTGTATTTAATTTATTATTAGACTATTTACGAGAACCCCAAATAACTGAGCGAGAGTGAATGAATAAATGTAAACAACACTTTTTGGGTGCATTCCGCTGCTTCTTCCCGCGTTTTTGATTGTTGCCCAGGAAGCTGCTTTAAATCTTGACTTAAAGCTTTCGTGACTGCAGGAATTCATATTTTTGGGTCTTTCGGTAAGTCACGTAAATAGGTTCAAAGCAAATAACAAAAAACGCAACACAAACGGTCGTTTTCAGGAAAACATAAAGACGACCACTGTGTTGCGATTGAAACGTCGTAGTTTTTTTGTTTATTTATTTGTTATTTTCATTGAACCTATCTACGTGACTTTACCGAAAGACCCAAGAATATGAAGCTGCTTTAGTTGTGAAATTCGGTCGCCTCTGGAAGGCCTCATTGCTGCACCAACTTCGTTTCCCGCGTGCGCATTAGCGGCGGTTGTCGTCATCGTCGTCGTCACTGCTGCCCACGTGTGGCTCCCCACGTGGGCTCTCGGTTTGTGTGACGCGCCTTGTTCGTCACAAGCGGCCGACGTCTCGCACGCACGCGCTGTGAGCTTCTACGGCAGCTAAGTTTGTCGAGTGGAGCGTGCCGTCGGTGAGGCGAGGGGGGTGACTGAGTGAGGGAGTGATTCGGTGAGTGGGTGAGGTGAGTGAGGGGTGTAATTGAGTGAGGGAGTGATTAAGTCAGTGGTGAGGTGAGTGGGTGAGTGAGGGGGGTAATTGAGTGAGGGAGTGATTACGTCAGTGGTGAGGTGAGTGGGTGAGGGGGATAACTGAGTGAAGGAGTGATTGAGCGGGTGAGTGGTTAGGTGAGTGAGTGGTCAGGCGAGTGAGTGGTCAGGTGAGTGAGTGGTCAGGTGAGTGAGTGGTCAGGCGAGTGAGTGGTCAGGTGAGTGATTGGTTAGGCGAGTGAGTGGTCAGGTGAGTGAGTGGTTAGGTGAGTGAGTGGTCAGGCGAGTGAGTGGTCAGGCGAGTGAGTGGTCAGGTGAGTGAGTGGTCAGGTGAGTGAGTGGTCAGGCGAGTGAGTGGTAAGGCGAGTGATTGGTTAGGCGAGTGAGTGGTCAGGTGAGTGAGTGGTTAGGTGAGTGAGTGGTCAGGCGAGTGAGTGGTCAGGCGAGTGAGTGGTCAGGTGAGTGAGTGGTCAGGCGAGTGAGTGGTAAGGCGAGTGATTGATTAGGCGAGTGAGTGGTCAGGTGAGTGAGTGGTCAGGTGAGTGAGTGGTCAGGCGAGTGATTGGTTAGGCGAGTGAATGGTCAGGTGAGTGAGTGGTTAGGTGAGTGAGTGGTCAGGCGGGTGAGTGGTCAGGCGAGTGAGTGGTTAGGTGAGTGAGTGGTCAGGTGAGTGAGTGGTTAGGTGAGTGAATGGTCAGGCGAGTGAGTGGTCAGGCGAGTGAGTGGTCAGGCGAGTGAGTGGTCAGGTGAGTGAGTGGTCAGGCGAGTGAGTGGTAAGGCGAGTGATTGGTTAGGCGAGTGAGTGGTCAGGTGAGTGAGTGGTTAGGTGAGTGAGTGATCAGGTGAGTGAGTGTTCAGGCGAGTGATTGGTTAGGCGAGTGAGTGGTCAGGTGAGTGACTGGTTAGGTGAGTGAGTGGTCAGGCGAGTGAGTGGTCAGGCGAGTGAGTGGTTAGGTGAGTGAGTGGTCAGGTGAGTGAGTGGTTAGGTGAGTGAGTGGTCAGGCGAGTGAGTGGTCAGGCGAGTGAGTGGTCAGGTGAGTGAGTGGTCAAGCGAGTGAGTGGTAAGGCGAGTGAGTGGTTAGGCGAGTGAGTGGTCAGGCGAGTGAGTGGTCAGGTGAGTGAGTGGTCAGGTGAGTGAGTGTTCAGGCGAGTGAGTGGTCAGGTGAGTGAGTGGTCAGGTGAGTGAGTGGTCAGGTGAGTGAGTCAGTGAGTGACGGGGAGTGGGTGGGTGTGGGGGGGGGAGCAGTTTGAGCGAGCGTGTGAACTGACTTCAGTTACCGAAGAAGCTAACGAGCGCGTGGAGCGAAACGTTGGACATCGCAAGCTGTCGACGTGCGGGAGAGCTGGACTCGTACCGTTCACCGTCCCGCATCTTGCCGGGATCGGCGTTGGTTTGCTTGCAAGAGCGCAGAGCCCCGGAGACATAACACAAAACGAGGAGAGAATATCATCCCCCCCCCCCCCCCCCCCCCCCCATTTATAATAACAGCACACGACTTGCATTGAACATTACAAGGCAACGATAATCGTAACAATAATACTGTCGTGCTAATACTACTGCAGAACATAACCGTGAGTCTTAATAACAACTATTTAATGTACAGCCCTTTGTTAAAGCCACTGCTCGATGAAGGCCTCCCCACACCACGTCAGTCATGTTGGGGGGGGGGGGGAGTTGTTTGACCATACTTCACCACGCTCTGTCAGTGTGGGTTGGTGAAGCACAAGAAGATGGGGGAGGGGGCGAGGGGAAGGGGCAGTCCGCTTCAGATTTTAGCTTCAGCGCGCCACCCCCCACCCCCGCTACGTAAACTTAGAATAATATACAAATAATAATTTAAACGTGACAAGTGATCGTTTTCTCACACATTGGGCGCGAAACGCAGGCGAGAGGCGTAAGGGGGGGGGGGACGTTTCAACTGAAGAGGGAACATCGTCATCATCGTCGTCGTCGTCGTTGTTGTCGTCGTCGTTGTTGTTGTCGTCGTTGTTGTTGTCGTCATCGTTGTTGTTGTCGTTGTTGTTGTCGTCGTCGTTGTTGTCGTTGTTATTGTCGTTGTTGTCGTTGTTGTTGTCGTTGTTGTCGTTGTTGTCGTTGTTGTTGTTGTCGTTGTTGTCGTTGTTGTTGTCGTTGTCGTCGTTGTTGTCGTTGTTGTCGTTGTTGTCGTTGTCGTCATCGTTGTTGTTGTCGTCATCGTTGTTGTTGTCGTCGTCGTTGTTGTTGTCGTTGTTGTTGTCGTTGTTGTTGTTGTTGTCGTTGTTGTTGTCGTTGTTGTCGTTGTTGTTGTCGTTGTTGTCGTTGTTGTTGTCGTTGTTGTTGTCGTTGTTGTCGTTGTTGTCGTTATTGTTGTTGTTGTCATTGTTGTCGTCTCTCTCCTCGTGTATTTTTCTCCGGGCCCTCCGGCTTTTCCCACCAACATTTGGGAACACGCGTGTCGAGCTCCCATGGTCCTCCCCTCGACGGGTGCTGTGCCCACCAACTCCTCCTCGCTCCGTCAGTGCTCTCGCCAACGGAGGCCGATGGCGTTGACAGTGGAAACGTTATTGCAGCCAAATGCTCTAAACGCGCGATGTTGATTCTAAATGTGCAGGGAAAAACCGGAGGGCCCCGAGACAAATCCACGCAACCACGGGGAGAGAGAGACACCGCAAACTCCAAATATACAGCAGAAGTCAGTGTCGGAATGGAACCGACGACCTCCTGTATACCAGGCGAGGTAGTTAACATCTCGCCACCGCGGCGCCATGTTAGCGTGGGTTTCGTGACGAACCCGACTCTGTGTGCCCCCTTCTTGAGGCGGTCATCGATATCGATGACCGGTCATCTGTGAATCGATGACCCCTCTATTAACTGGTGGGCTAATCCCTCCGGGGCTCACCGCTGCGGGCAGTGAAAGCTGGTTCCCCTTTGTCTGCTTTTGTTGAGGAAGGGGAGGAGGAGGAGCCTGACTCTTTGTTGATACGCGAGTGGGGGTGTCGGTGTGCCACTGCAAGAGGCACGGCATGGTGGTGGTGGTGGCAGTGGTGGTGGTAACAGCATGGCGGTGATTGAATGACGAGGGTGGTGGAGGTAGTTATGGTGGTGGAGGGGATGGTGGTGCTGGTGGTAGTGGTGGTGATGGTGGTAGTGGCCTTCACGTGGCCTCAAAGTGCACTTGGCCTGGCACAAGCGCTGTGGTAACGTCACCGCCACTTAGTGGCGAATGGCGGGTTTTGTTGTTGCTGTTGATGGTGGTGGTAGTGATAGGAGTGGTGGCGGTGATTGTGGTGAACGCGGTAGTGGTGGCGTTGGTGATTGTGGCAGTGGCGGTGGTGGAGGCGGTAGAGGCAGTAGGGGTGGTGGTGTTGGCGATGGCGTTCGTGATTGTGGTGGAGCCGGCGGTAGTGTTGGTGGTGGCTCTAATGTCCAGCATCAAGCCTACGTTGTGACCTTACCCCCCAAAATATCTCCCTACCCCCAGCACCACCCCCTCACCCCTCACCCCTTCCCCCAGGGGTGGGAGACACGAGGGGGCAGGAGGAGCAGGGAGCACACGTTGGGAGATGGTGACGGTGAGGTGGCATCACCGCTGATGATGGCGATGATGCTGCCGACTGACTCAGAGGAGTGTGATGATCACCCCATGTGTACTGCTGCTAATGATGATGCTGATGCCTATTCGGGTGTTGTTGCTGCTGCTCATGTTACAATACTGCTGCTGCTGATGAAGATGATGCGACGATGATGTCGTTCTTCGGACTGCTGCTGCTGTTCACACTGCTGATGATGCTGCTGATGCTCATGATGATGCTGATGATGACACAAAAGCGCATTCCATGACAATGTTTTTATGCTGCTTTTGATGCGGTTACTATGCAGCTGATAATGCTGCTGATGACGATGATGATGCAGCAGCAGCTGCTGATGATGATGACGACTCAGAAGAGCTTCTTGTAAGGCACGCGCCTGAACATGCGCAGCGGGAGGAGTTTGATTTTTGGCAGCACCAACTCCACGCGCTGCGACGTCACCACCACCTCGTTCGCCTCATCCTCCTCTTCATCCTCCTCCTCGTCGCCGCCGTCGTCGTCCCTCTCGCCCGTCACGTGACCCCCCCCCTCCTCCTCGTCGTCGGGCCGGCTGACGATTCGCGACGTGAGCGAAATGTCGTCCTGCAGCGCCGACAGCAACTCCGGGCCCTACGGAAGGAGAAATCATCATCATCATCAGCAGCATCATCAGCAGCAGCAGCATCAGCAGCAGCAGCACCAGCAGCATTATCAGCATCAGAGATAACATCACCAGTAGCATCAGCAGCAGCATCATCATCTTTAGTGCCATTGTAATTAAGGGATAATTACGTGTGTGCTTTCCATGCTCTGTACACACACACTAAGACACACACTGTATACACATACACACTAGCAACATAGACACACAAAGACAAAGATGCCCTGTACTGTATAGCCTACAGAAGTTGTTGGGGAAAGTGCTGTTACCGAGCGCCGAATGAAGACCAACACGGCGCACCTATGGGAGAGTACTGTGGCTAGCACCACGTCTGGCCGCCTTTGTCTCGCCAGTGCCGGTGTTTTAATACACACCACGATCAATAGGCCTAGATTGCCACTACCAATACGGCCCACTCGCCACTAAGTGACGGTGACGTCACCACGGGGCCTGTGCCAGGCCAGGTGCACTTTGAGGCCACGTGAAGTGTCGAATGCTCGCTGGCAGGAGGTCACGGGGCAGACCCAGGTGCCATGGACTGGCTGCCACTACCATAACCAACACCATCACCACTACTAACAACATTACCACCACTACCAACAACATTACCACCACTACACACAATGAAACAACGTGGCTATTGGGTGATACCATCACCACCACCATCACCACCGGCACAATGCCACCACCACCATCGGCACCACCCCCACCATCCCCCCTCCGTTCCGTGGCCGCACCGTGAATAATTGAGGGTGACCCGAGGCATGGAGTTTCAGGGGAAAGGGGGAGGGGGGGTGAGACCCCTGGGTTGCCAGGGTCTTCTCCTCCTCGCGCGTGCGAGATGGAGCGGTGGCGCAGTGGTTAGCGCGCCGCGCGACGAACCCGGCAACCTGACCTCGATTTCCCATTCACGGCCAATAGCAGCGACGAATTTATCCGGACCGGTTCTGGGCCTCCGCGAGCTATCGGTCGACTCAGCCTTAAATAAAGCAACGGGCACGGTGTGTAAACGTCAACACTGGGAAGACAAAGGCGGCCGGCGCGTGATCCTGGCCACACCACCCCCTTTCATGCGCTCGCGAAGAAGCACTTGCCCCAACAAACGGCGAGAGGCTATACGGGGGGACCTTTGTCTTCCCATCTCTCCATCGTTGATTGATCGCGCAATGAACGCGAGATGCCCCGGAGTGTTTCGCGACCTCTTACGAGCCCACAGAGATCAGCTGGAAGTGACTCTCAAGGGAGACCTGGGTTAAAATGCGTGCATTTAACGATGGCAGTTAAAATGCGTGCAGTTGAACTGCCATGGTTAAACACGTGCGTAGTTTGTTTGTCGTTGTGTGGGATGTCATGAGTTTGATGTCCCCCCCCCTGCCCCGCACCTCCGATTAGCGCGGTTGCCTCTGTGACGGTGCGAAAGAAGTTCAACATGTACACGTACAATTGCCAATACTCTGCCGTCTCATTACAATGTTCGTTTAATTGTATGTTCCGCGAGCTTGCACTGGAAAGCCTCACTGAGTCTCAAGACTATGCTTCAGGAGGGTCCTGCCAAGGGTGTTTGTTTGCAGTAGCGGAGCGATGCTGCAGTCATTTGCAAAGCGCTCAACGCAGAACAACCCTGGGTTTGATCTTCCACGAAGCTCACGGTCCACCCTAAACCGCATCCTCTGCACAAATCATGGCAGTAGATTCGGATACCTGATGCACAGATGGAAAATTAACTCTCTCCAGTCGTGCGCGACCGTGGTCATCCAGAACAGACCGTACAACGTGTAACGACGCAATGCCCCGACCAACAAATACGAAGGAGACATCACGGCGATGATGCACTACTCTGCTGCTCCGGACACGGTAGTCTGGCTTGCCCACCTGAATGCCAAATTGTCGTTTGTTGCTCTGCATCTGCATCAGTAGCCGTACGATAGAAGAAGATGAAGAAGCAATGTGCAGGTCATTTTTGTTGTTGCGGCAAATGGTATGACAAATGGTAGTAAGCTTTTGCGACCGATATTATTGATAATGAAGGTTTTTGGGTTAGATCGCGTAAGTGTAAATGTGTCGTAACCCGCCAACACCCGGCATTCAACCAGTAAGGTTCGTCACGTTAACAAAATGTGACAAATTAGTTACGACCGGATGTAATTACCAGCGAAACGTCGCAATACTCAAATTGTACATGTTGTGGATTTACTCCAACTCACCGGTGGGCTGAAGTAGTAACTAATAGGCACGTTTTGTTCACGTGACAAACCTTACTGGTTGGCTGTGTCGGGTGGTGGCGGGTTAACGGTACATGTATACTGACGCGATCTAACCCAAACACCTTCATTATGAGCGAATGGGATGTTTGGCCCAATACCGGTCTTCTCTTAGAAGAAACCACGGAAACCTGAGGATGTTGAAGTCCCCCCCCCCCCCCCAGCCATCAACGTAAGAGTCGTGCTTCCTAGTTGTGGCCGAAACACAAAACTCTACAATGGCACAACGTGATTAATCCCGTTGTGTCAGAATCAGAATCTTTGTTAAGACTGGAGGAATCCGATGAGCAATGAAGCTCTTTTTTTCCACAGATGTCCTCTGCAATGTGAGTTGGCCATCAACGCCATGGCATCGCTGTGCGTGTCGCTACCAGCTTGCGTGACATCACAATAGCTCCGCTCCATTGAACTTTGATTTGGCTTTACAGTTCGCATATCAAAGATTCAACACACGAGGATTCAAATAATTCTGGAGGTGAATAACAACGGAGCGATTGGAGTCACTGGTCACATAGTGGTGGGATATAACAGTCAAGGGCTGGAGGGATTGAATTTATAAAGAGGGCCTCACCACCTCCGCCTGCCCCCGCGGAATTTACAACAACCCCTGCCCTCCCTCCCCTATCGGGCCTTGGTGATATCCCCCGCGTGAACAGTGCCTCGGGTTAACAACGTCCTACAAGGACGTTCATTAAATGTAGGGCACGATAATATACAGTATGGTAATCATGAATTAGGGGAGCCTCGTGAGATTCCCTGGCGATTCATAGTTGATTGAATGACTGGTCATTTGATTATGCTAGTTGTAAGCACCAGCGAAAACGTGGGACTATCCAATCGTATAAGCGTGTGCGTGGATCGCTCCCTCAAACACAGCCAGCGATGGTGCTGCCGCTGAAGCAGTGATATACATTGGCAGCGTTTGTTCATCACGTGACAACTCTATTAAATGACCGTGTCGTGTAGAGAAGGGTGTACGACACATTATACTCACGCGAACCTCGCCCCAAAAATCTATTATATGAATGCCAGTATTGGTCTGTAGTGGTAGTGCCTTACGCCAACAACTCCCTCTACGTAACTCAACAAGCCAGCCTAGGTGGCTGGCATCGTTCCGGAAAAGGGAAACAACCAATACCGAGTGAGACGTTAAAGCCGTGGCCTAAAATAATAATGAACGTAATATAATAATGAAAAATGCACGAAGCGCCCTTAAACAATCGTTCTGTGGGCGCTACGCATAGAAGATGCCACGAATGTGTACGAGAGTCGGAAAGGACGCCCGCTTACCTGCGCTGGCACGAGGGAGAGCGCCCTGCAGAGCGGGCACGGCAGGGCGCTGCTGCCCTTGCCCTGCTGGGGCCGCGCGAGCAGGAGGACGCAGGCGCCGCAGAACGAGTGGCCACACGCGGGCAGACGCTTGGGCACCGAGCGCCCGCGCCGCGAGTACTCCCCGTAGCAGATGCCGCACTCCATCTCCTCGCAGCAGCTCTCGCGCGACATGGCACCCCCCTGGGTAGGGGCGGGGGGTGGTTCCTGGTGGCCGGGTAGCTGTGGTGGCCGGGTAGCTGTGGTGGTTGGGTAGCTGTGGTGGTTGGGTAGTAGCGGTGGCCGGGTAGCAGCGTTGGTAGTGGTCAGCAGCTCCACCAGGCGATTTCAGCTCCACCAGATGGCCCTGAAGGATACCTCGCATGCGGCCTCGCTCACCAGATGCTGAATTCGGCTCACCGGATGACGATTCAGCTCACCAGATGACGATCCAGCTCAGCAGACAATAAAGGCGCAGCTCAGCAGATGGCCCGGCAAATTAACTCCGAACCACAGGCGTTCCTGTAGGTGATTCAGCTCACCGCGGGACGATGTCGCTCACCACGGCAGGGTGATCCAGCAGCTCACCAGCGACAGTCCCTCCGGGCATGAGTCAGCACATCCCGGGCGCGCGACGTCTGCGATCCTGGCGCGCGCGACACATTTAAGGCTGCGTTGGTGTCATGATAGTCGTGGCAGAGGGCTCGCTGTGTCAGTTCGGCAGCACCGGTAGCGGCCTGAAGGGAAACAAGATGTGTCTTGATACTGTCGTTCGGCTTCGACAACAAAGACTCGCCCAGACAGAGGCTTTCTCTCTCTCTCTCCGCCTGCGCGCAGTCGTTGTCGCAACAGACTTTGTTTGGGAGCGCGTTGCTCTTCGCGAGCGCCTACGAAAGCTGGCACGGCGCTCCAGTAGATTGGTGGCGTGGCCGCTAATATGAGCACAGGCACATATGTGTGTGTGTAAACGCACGCACGCACGAACACGTGTGTGTGTAAGATGTGCTGCTACGTGTATATGGCACGCGTGTGTGCGCGCGGGAGCGTTTTTGTTCGTCTGTGCACAGCTGACTGGGTTGCCTGGACAAGCCCAGGGGCGGCTGTCAGGTGAATGAATGAATGACGCAGCTGTGCTTTAAGAAAAGACCCCCACCAATCCACCACCCACCATCCCCCACCACGAACACCCCCACCACACACACACACAGAGATCTTCACAAAGGGGCAGTGTATACGCTGCAACATTGCGGTTTAAAGGGGTCACGTGCGCGGCGGGGTGTTTAAAGGGGGGTGTCCTTGCGCGCGATACCCCGCAACGTTAAAACCTGTCGCGGGGGTTCATGGTGAATGGGCGGCATTTTAAAGAGGCAGTGGGATATACGATGACTTGTACCGGCAGAGTGCACATTGATACGTCGGAGGAGCAAGGTGCGCGCTACGTGTTCTTTAAGGGGTGGTGCATACGGTGCCTTAACTCGCTAGAGTGTGCACTCGACTTTAACGGCGGGCCAAAGCTATTGCGATACGTTGAAAAAGAGACCCGGCATACGATGATGACTTGTTCGAGTAGTTTTACCCCCCGAGCTTCAAATTGACACAATGTCCACGAGATGTATTTTTCTTTCTAAAGGCGGCCGTGTAAATGCGCTGCCGGCGATGATCGATGCACGACTTTTACCGTGGCGTCGCGGTGTGGCGCGTCGCAGGCCGGCGAGATGCTCTCTGCAAGACCCCCACGGCGGCACGCCAGTGTCGTGTTAACTCGACATCTGCACGGACTATCACACGGTAACAACGCAGTGGACACAAAGTAAAACCAGAGGCAGACAGCTCACGGAATGCAATCCGACGCTGGGGGTGGTGGTGGGGAGGTGGTGGTGGTCGCGATGGATGCTGAGCACTGCGGCTAATACTTCGGGCAAAGACAAAGAGCCCCCGGATAGGCTACGCGGGTCTGCCGGGGAAAGAGATGTTAGCGAGCACCTATGGCGGGGCAGCACGGGACACGAAGTGGTGGTGGTGTTGGTATGTGGAGGGTCAGATCTCTTGAATCCCTGTCCCCCTAATGGTAGAATATCTCATGCCCCAGGTCACTGTTGCAAATGAGAAACTATTCGCGCGATCTCTGGAGTTCTCTCCTGGTCAAATGAAATAAACCTGAAATGGTGGAGCTCACACAGACGGACTCACCCGCAGAGACACGGACTCACAGAAACAGACTGACAGAGACACGGACCCACAGAGACACCGACCCACAGAGACACGGACCCACAGAGACACGGACTCACAGAGACACCGACCCACAGAGACACGGACTCACAGAGACACCGACCCACAGAGACACGGACTCACAGAGACACCGACCCACAGAGACACGGACTCACAGACACGGACTCACAGAGACACGGACCCACAGAGACACAGACTCACAAAGACAGCAACCCACAGAGACACGGACTCACAGAGGCACGGACTCACAGAGACACGGACTCACAGAGATGGACTCACAGAGACACCGATTCACAGAGACACCGATTCACAGATACACGGACTCACAGGGACACACTCACATAGACACGGACTTGCAGATACACCGACTCATAGAGACAGACTCAAAGAGACACCGATTCACATAGACACAGACTCACAGGGACACACAGAAACACGGACTCACAGAGACAGACTCACAGAGACAGACTCACAGAGACACAGACTCACAGAGGCAGACTCACAAAGACACCGATGGACTCACAGAAGACACGGGCCCGCAGAGAGACTCACAGCCTCTCAACAACGATCCTTTTAACCACCCCCCGCCTCGTCTCCTAGGAGACTTCAGTACATTCCCCCTCCCCCCACCGTTAATTATTAGGACGCTCAATCCGCAAATTAAAACGAGTAAGAATAATCTTGCACACGCATGGATTACGCATCCAGTCCAGACGCTAACAGCACTTGGCCCCATATTACTCTAAACACACACAGGGTGGCCACAAAGTCCCTATACATGGGACACATACAACACAATGTGACTTCGAGCAGCTGCGTATGCTGCCCTCAGCTCTCAACCCACGGCTGGATTCCTACCCCGGCAATTCCCGACGGAACTTTTCGAGCGGATCGTGGCTGCGTAATCGCACTAGCAGTTACGCAAGGCTGTTTTAAGTTCCTCTCAATATGTGTCGGTCTTCATTGTCAGGTAGTCTATTCAATAAAGTAAACTATAAACTATATATTTTTTTATGTCGCCAGGTAAGGCCCACTGAGCGATGTATCTCTTTTTTCAGAAGCGACCTGGCCACAAAGGACATCTCAACGAAGTTGCTTATCACGTGGAAACGTATAGCGGCCAAATACTTTAAATGCGCACGGCCACGGGGAGAGAGAGAGAGACATGCAGACGACAAATATACAGCAGGCGTTAGAATCGGGATTGAACCCACGACTTCCTGTATAGCGGGCGAGGTAGTTAACATCTCGCCGTCGTGATTATTGCGTTGTTGTTGTCAGGTGTGGGCTTCGTGGCGGCCAAACCAGAGATCAGATCGTCTCTCGATCCACATCGCCCACTGAACCTTCCCCCATTCAAATAATTCCCGAATTTCGGAGGAACACCTCAATGCGCCGCAGAGAACGGAGAACAATATTTGATGCAAAGGAACTTCGTGGCCACCCTGTACAAGGCTACACGACAAACAACTTAAATCATTTGTCGATAACGCGGCCCTAAAAGGGCGCAAGCAACACAATAGCCGACGTTGCGAGCAACGGCCCTACTTGACTACGTTCTCTTGAGTTGAAATGATTGTTGAGTATTTTTCGTTGTCGCGTGTTTACATGCGCACCACAGCCAACGCAGCATTGCAAGACAATACATCTTACCCATAAGATGATATGTGGCAACAATGCATGTACATATAAGATGATATGTGACAACAATGCATATACATATAAGGTTATATGTGGAAATAATACATGCGCATAAAAGATTATAATGTGCAAACAATGAATAGATTACGTGCCCAGGAATGCCACACTGAGTCTGTTGATTATTTTTCAACAAGGGGGTTCTGCTAGTCGATTGTTTGGCCAACATCAATGCTATACGAGCTGGTTAATCTCTTGTGTGTGTGTATACAGCTGCCTATGTACGTGTTTTGTGAGCATTTATACATATGCGAGTGTATGCGTAAATATGTGTGTGTGTGCGAATGTACGAGCGTGTACACATGTTGATATGCATGTGTACATGTCAACATGTGAACTTATGTACACACAAAAACTAAACAAAAAACAAAGATCCCCGTATAGCTTTAACAGACTGGTGGGACAAGTGCTGTTAGTGAGCTCCTTTGAAGGTCGGAACGGCGCACGAGAGGGTGGGTAGCCAGCACCACGCCCGGCCACCTTTATCTCCCCAGCTGCGATGAGTCTGAGTCGACCTAGGCGATGCCCAGAACCGCTAGTGTTGGCCGTGATCGGAAATCCAACTCAGGTTGCCAGGTTCGAAACCCGGCGCGCTAACCACTACACCACCGCTCCCCACACACGGCCAAACAAGCCCATAGCCAACACGGCGTGCTGTGTGGCCTTCATCCAACAGCGGACTGACCGTTGCTGATGATGCCGATGTGTGCAAAATGAACGATTTGCTACGGAGGGTCATTGCCTGAAACGTCGCCGAATTAAAACGTGTCCCTTTGAGGGCCCACGGTGTTACTGACGAAGCGTTGCGATTGCCGTTGTTTGTGCACCCCCGCCCATTGAGAAGAGGCAGCAGCACCACAACCAGATCGCTGGCGAGGTCTTCTCGGGGCCTGTTTGCCAGCTGTGCGTAAGAGAGGGGAGACGCGGGGCTTGTGCCCTACACAAGTGGGACAATGGCTCTGGGAGGGAGACGCGGGGCGCTGGTGGTGGTGGGGGAGACACTTGGGGGGGGTGGAGAGTTTCTGGGAGAGAGGGGTGGTGGTGGTGGTGGGGGAGACACTTGGGGGGGGGGGTGGAGAGTTTCTGGGAGAGAGGGGTGGTGGTGGGTGTGGGGGAGACACTTGGGGGGAGGAGAGTTTCTGGGAGAGAGGGGTGGTGGTGGGCGTGGGGCAGCCGGAAGACACGGGGAGGAGAGACGGAGAGAGTGGTCATGGGGGGAGGGGTGATCGAAGGGAGCGGTTGGGAGCGGTGGCGCAGCGATTAGCGCGCTGCGCTATGAACCCGGCCACCCGAGTTTGATTCCCTCTGCTCACGGGCACCAACACCATCAGTGTCGATTATCTGAACCGGTCCTGGGCCTCGCCAATGTTGACGCAGCCCCTATAATGAGTACCCGGTGCGGTGTGCATGCACATCGCCACGAGGGAGACAAAGGCGGCCGGGTGTGGTGTTGGCCACTCATCCCCTCGTGCGTGGTACTTTATTGGTACTCGCTTATAGCACTTCCCCCAACAGTCTGTTAAAGGCTCTATGATTGTAAATCGATTCCTCGCTCACTCTTAAACGCCAGTCGCAACGATCATATATTCATAGAGATTTCAATGACGTCATCTCGGGGGGGTCTTTAACATCCAACTCTCTGGGCCACTCTGACCTTCATTAACGATTCAACGAAAGCCCTGTGGACTGTCATTACTCCGCGGACTCCGCGTGCTTTTCACGGGTCCCTGCTAATACACACCACGATCATCAGCATCAGCACACCGCCATCACCGCAATACACAACGTAAAAGACGTCAACACCAACTCAATACACGCACTGTGGGTCAGTGTCTCTGTGAGTCCATGTCTCTGTAAGTCCATGTCTCTTTGAGTCCGTGTTTCTGTGAGTCCGTGTTTCTGTGAGTCCGTGTTTCTGTGGGTCCGTGTCTCTGTGAGTCCGTGTCTCTATGAGTCCGTGTCTCTGTGGGTCCGTGTTTCTGTGAGTCCGTGTCTCTGTGGGTCCGTGTCTCTGTGAGTCCGTGTCTCTGTGAGTCCGTGTCTCTGTGGGTCCGTGTCTCTGTGAGTCCGTGTCTATGTGGGTCCGTGTCTCTGTGAGTCCGTGTCTCTGTGAGTCCGTGTCTCTGTGGGTCCGTGTCTCTGTGGGTCCGTGTCTCTGTGAGTCCGTGTCTGTGTGAGTCCGTGTCTCTGTGAGTCACACTCAAAGACAAAGACCCCCCCCCCCCTCCGTATCGCCTTTAACAGACTGTTGGGGCAAGTGCTGTTAGCGAGCACCTACGAAGGAAGGCTGGCACACAGCACACTAGGGAGTGAGTGACCAATATCACGCCCGGTCGCCTTTGCCTCCCCAGTGGTGATGTTCACACACGTATGAATGTATTTTGTTGAGCATATTTTGCACCGTACGTAGCCAATCGCACCAGGTACTCATTTTTGAGGCTTCACAAAATCGTCACCGGTGTTGGCCGTGATCAGGAATCGAACTCGGGTGTCCAGGGTTCGTGGCGCAGGGCGCTGACCCGCAACGATGATGTACACGTAGGCGATGTCGTTATGTCTACAGTTAATATTCATTTATGTTTCCTTGTGTCTCTGTGTTCATGTAAATAAGGGTCAGCCAGACTCGTCTTGATGTGGGGTGGTGGGGGAAGAGGTAATTCATCGAAACGAGTTTTATCTACGCCGGTTAAATAAAGGATTATGTCCACGCACAGACCCAATTGTGATCCATCAACGGCAATCAATCATTCATCAAGGTCTGCCGCGTGCGCGCATTGTACTGCCCCGGGTCATCTCGTCTTGACTCACCGAGCAGACGGCTCAAGTACAGTATGCTGCATCGAGACTGGGTGGATTAAAAAAAAAACTCTTAAACAAAATTGCAGCTTACATAAATCCAAGAAAGTGAAAACTAACGTCGCATTGTGGCCCCTGTATGTACTGCGAAAGAGGGCCATTTCCGGAACCGTCGCCTGTTATATTTTGTTTCCCTTGAAGGCCACATACAAAGTGTTGTTGTTATTGACAATTGTGTTGAGTCGTTTGTTGTTAACTGTGCGCGTGCACCACTGCCAGCAGCAGCAGATAATTTGTTTAAAATCAAATTCAGAATGTTATTATTTATTTGGACGCATCCGAGAGAGAGAACGTCCACCGAGGAGATAGAGTCATTATGATCTATACTTGGGGCGCCACGGTGGCGAGGAGATGTTAACTACCTCGCCTGGTATACAGGGAGTCGTGGGGTCGAACCCGACCCTGACGACTGCTGCTGTATATTTTGAGTATGCGTGTCTCCCTCCCCGTGGCCGCGTGGATTTTTTTGTTTGTTTGTAAAAAGTCGTTTTAATAGCTGGTGTGTGGAGCAAGCTGCTGGGTGGATTAATGTGAACATCGCTGGATCGTGAGATGCGTCTGCTGGGAGAGAGGAGAGGCCTTCATCCGGCAGTTGATCGACCCTGGCTGATGATGAATATTTATGAATTCACAAATTGCATCCACGTGTGTGTTTTTTTACCCCCATTCACACGTGGCCTACACAAATACACACATGATTGTTCCCTCTCAGTCGTGCAAACGTCAAAATATTGGGCCAGTCTAGTCGACGAGAAGCTGTCGAGTTAAATATACATCTAGATATGTGTATATAACTGCACGTATCAATTTCGATTTAAAGCTTTCGTGACTGCAAGGATTCATCTTCTTTGGTTCTTTCGGTAAAGTCACGTAGAATGAGAATAAGAGAATATTATTGTGTTATTTTATTTTATCAATTTATTATTTTATTCTCATTCTACGTGACTTTACCGAAAGAACCAAAGAAGATGCACGTATCAAGTTTCTCGCCTGCTTATGTCAATGAATCATTCTCTCGGTTTACATCGGTCAAACATTGAGTTAAACGTTGTTATTGAT